AGGATTGCATCAATCGAAATGATATGTTATTTTTTACGATGACTTGCCTAAGATTCAAGATATTATAATGGGCGCCTTTAGTGAAGCTTGCCAATTTAATTGTGACATTCGTGACGTTGGCATACTAAACCATGTTGACATGCAAGTAGAAGATGCGGCTTGGGTTAAAGCTTATGGGGTGTCAAGAGAGCGTTTGAAGAACAAGAAGACTCTACTTTCACTCTATTGCTGCATTAAACTATGAGAATGTAGAGAAATATCTACTCGACGCATATGTAAGAGTATATGGACTAGGAATTGGTTTGTTGCTTGCAACAAATTTACTAACACGTGTCGAATGAATTTTTATAATCGCTCAACCAAAACAAATCACACTTTCATGTCGTGAATCAATTGCAAGTTTACTACTATCAACTTTTTATCAAATATTTTGGCAATATTTAGGTCATTTTATCTTTTTAAAAGCCACATATTAAAGGCTAACAATATTAATATGAATCACATTTGCACATCCTACAATAATGATCTAAGGACATATGCAAACTCTATTTACATCAGTTCAATATTAGGTCATAAAGAGATAATAATCCGTACTGATCACATCCATTTGGTTTAGCACAGATCTACTGGATAGCTCGGGTAATGGGTCATCACAATCTCTTGACAACCCCGCTTGCATTGAGATAAGATGTAACTCCACCATCAGTACAAAAACTAATGATAACAAATGTTGCGAGGCATTAGTGGGCAACTCTTCCCGTTGATATGACTGTTGATAAATTTTTCAGTAATGATTATGATACGATGCAGACACATATTGAGCACATCAAAGCAAATCCACCAGCTTATTCTTCCCTACATCGAAAATTAATGTTGCAGCACATGTTTAAGCAATGTTGCCTGCAATTTATGAGTACATCATAAATGTCGATAAAATCAACAATGACAGGAGGAATGGCATAGGGCTTACTCAATGTCTATGCAATATGGAGCATGATAAAAAGTGTTTATCAAATATGTGGGTAAGTGCACGGGTAAATATGCTAGAACTATCACTGTGGGTTACTTGAATATGTGCATTTTTAGATTATTAGCTTGAAAATCATTTAAAAGAAGCTACCAAAATTTTCTCATTTTAATAATTTGTTTTTATCTCAATGTGATTTTGCGTCCTGCTGGCCAACATCTCTTTGGCAGTTGTTCAACATTCTTTCAACATCACCTGCGATGGGCGAGCTTAAACACCACTGTAAGTATTATTTTGTTTGATTTGGAAGCATGATTAAATGCCCTGCAAAAAAAAAATGATTTTAGCTACATTCTCTTGCAACAATTCAGTGATGATCCTGTTTTCAACTTCGATCTCGACCTCGACCTCAATCTCCTTCGTGAATCTTGGGTTCCTGAAGCTGATCAGCCACCTAATGTCTTCCATTCTTCTGTATCCCCCTCTACGGTTTCACTTATGAGTGTTAATGAGGTGGTGGTTATTAAGAAGGATGATGATTATTTCCAAAAGAAATAGAGAAGGTATGTTTGATTCAAACTTGTTCTATTGTTTAATCAAACATTAATTCTTGCATTGCCTTTTGACTTTCAGCTTATATTTTGTTAAAAAAAAAAAACCATTTATATTGGAGTCATATATTTAAAAATTTGTTGCAATTTAGCTAAGTTTAAAATTTTTAATTTATCTTTACGCTTCAAATACTGCAAAATCTTAAACCCATATTAGTAAATCCTGTTAGATTTATGGGATTTAGAGAAGCAACGCGTGAAAGAGGGTAGGAGGAAATTGATGAACAAAGGTAAGAGGTAATTTAATTTCATGATTTGCTCTAGCTTTAATCTAAAAATCCAACAAATCTTAGATCATATTTTAACTAGTGTTTACCTTTCTGTTTCCTTTTGCAGGAGTGTGCATTGTAATCAAATTATTAGTTTTATCAAATTTTTATTTTTGAATTGTAAGTGATGGCTTTCTGGCTTCAATCCGTGCTATTATGTTATTTTCTCAGTTGAGTTGGAAAATAACTATCTTTTGTCTGTGTCAAATAAATTCAAAAGTTGTAATTTTATTTCCTTGAATAGAAATTTCGCTTTGCTCTATCACATGACGTTTGATATTTTGTAGCGATAAAATATCCATTTTCTATTAGAATAAAAAAATAAGTCCACTTTCTCTTAGAGTTTATCAGAGATGTCAACATTTTTCTTTTAAAACAGATAATTTTGTGTTTTGTAGTTGAAGAGCTGTAGGCTTTAAAAAAATAATTACCCAACTTTTGTATCTACTATATGTGATCTGTGTTTTAATTCAAATTTTTGAAGCATCTCTAAATTTTTGTTTCGAGATCTAAGCGATATGTTTTGTTTTTGTTATTGGATCATCTGATTCATGTTATTTGGTATGGTTTAAGAATTTTCATAGTTTAGATTGTTTATTGTGAAAGAAAATTGCTAACTTAAACTGTAAGATAAGTTATACTGTTCGTATATTTTATTGCTCATATTTTTGGCTTCAAGTTACTTTTTTTAAGTATTTTGATGGCCTTATTCTTGACGGCCTTATTCAAATATTGTAAATCAGGGAGATTTCATGCCGACTGCAACTTTTTTGCAAGTTATGAATATCATTCTCTCATACTAAGATTGGGGATTTGCAGGAATATTTTTATTGTGTTTGCTTGTATACTAAGCTATGAATGCTTCTTTTATGCAGTAAAGATTGTGTTATGATATTTTAGAGTGATCATTAAACGTTAGCAGCATTTACATACATACCACCCAATTCATATGTATTTGCTTATCTTAAACTTAAAAATTGCTTTTTTATATATATTTATACCATCCGAAAGCTTTCATTATCACATAAAGAATATTATCATTTTAACTTTTGACTTTTAAAATGTGAAACACATCTTTTCATTCATATGTAAGGTGGTATATATATGTAAAATTCAAAGTTTTGATGTTAGATATGTACACACATAAGAATTTAGTGCAATGTATGTAAATCTTAAGGCGCATAGTGATATATTTATGTTCCTGAACGTTTGAAGTTTTCCGGATACTTTAAGGGAAGCTGATAAATTTTGTGTTAAAGGAAGCAGCTTATGTGTTTTTTGTTTGAAGTTGATGATACTTTGAAAAAAAAAGATAACTGGTCATAATTGTATTAGAAGAGGCTATCATTTTTTCATTGTGTGATTTGTAAGGCCGAACCAAGCTCACTAGCCGAAATGGCCGAACCTGACCCACCAGAAGAAGTGGCTAAACCAGGCTAGCTAGCCGAAGTGACCAAACTAGGCTAGCTAGCCGAAGTGGCCAAACTAGGCCCATCGGCCGAAGTGGGCAAAGTAGATGTTGACCTCACTTTTGTGAGGACCTCATTGCTTCTCTATAGAAGCAAAGGATTTAGCCTTAGGGTTTCCTAGTGACCTTCTTAGATGACTAGAGATGGAACTCACTCATATGGGACTTCTAACCGATCCTACACTCACTTAGGGTTTTTTAAAGTTAAAGCCCCAATTCTCATCCCTTGGTTGAGATAATTGAGGGACTAGCTCAGTGGAAGCCCAAGTTGACTTCCTATAGGTGGAAGATGCCCTAGGCTACCTATGGAGCTCAAAACTCTAGGAATTCCCTTAATGACCCATTGAATATCCTTGGGATTCTCATTGACCTCGAAAAACCCCATCAGACAGGGGGTTGGGATTCTCACATGTATAATAGTACCAAGATAATGTATGTAAGCATATAAAAAAAATCAGAATATGTGCAATTGTATAGGCACAAAAGAATTATATATAGCACATACATGGCTCTAGAACTTTCAATTTCTATAACAAATGTATTACGTTCTCCCCCCCTCTCCTTTTTTTTTACACATCTTTCATAAACAAAAAAAAAAAAAACACAGAATTTATTTACAAAAAGGAAGATATTAAAAAATAGCAGAAACTTTCAAAACCAAGCAATAGACAGACAGAGAATTTCGGCGTGGAAAAGGGCAATCAAGGATAATTTAAAAAATCCAATGATAGCTGAAAGAATTAATTTGAAGTAGCAAGTTTTTTATTATTATTATACAAAACAATCCGCAAGACATATTTAGACTATTATTGTGTTTAAATAATAGGAAATATTCATTGCTTTTTGAAGCATTAATGGAGAAGCTCAAATCAGGTAATTGAGGATTTCTCCTCTTCCTCAATCTCAAGATATCACGCTGAACATTTTCATCGTTTAATAAACTCCAATGCAGCATTTCTTTTGTTTGAATGAAGTATCAAAATGTTTGAAATCATGTTTTTCTGTATTATCCACAATAACATTGTTCTATGCCTTGAAGTGGTGAAGCGTATCACAAAAAATCATTAAGAGTTATATATATTGTTTTGACTGATGAAGCACTTGAATCTTATGTTAACGAATATCTGAAAGAGCAGATTGGCTGCTAATATATATATATATATATATATATATATATATATATTAGAAAGAAAAGAAAACATTATATCATTTATCCTTGATAAGAATTGAATCAAAGCATAGCATAATGCCTTTCAATCGATTGTTGCATCCATCCTCTATATGTCCCGATCAAAAAGAATTGAATGTAATAAAACTGTAAATAACAATTATCTAACAGTATACAAGAAAAGCCATAAGCTCACCAGCTAACAACCAAAGAAATGTAGTTATAATCCTTGAAGGTTAAAGTGAGCATCAGAGTAAGGAAATTCCTTACCATTAAATCAAGAATGGAAAACAAAGTTTGGCTAAAATAAATGTGCTTCACAGAAGAAGAGAAGGGTGAAGAGACTTACTCTTTAAATTAGAAGATTGAAAAGAGAAGGATAACCTTGCTGCATAAGAGGATACGAGCCAGAAGTTTCGGCTAGGTGAGAAAGACGGAGCGAAAGAAATTCGGGATCGTCCCCGCAAGAGTGTGTTGAGAGGGGTATTTGTAGCCGGGGAAGGGGAAGATTACTTACAGACGAAGGTACCGGCGGTGACGGGAATGCGCCACGGAGGGCAAGAAACCGACCAAGAATTGTAAGTAGGAAGGTATCCTGATGCATTTGGGCGGGAAAAAAATCTTACTGGAGGAGTGCTCGACGGTGAGAACCGGCGGTGAGGGGAAAGCCGCAGAGAACAGCCGCCGGCTAGGGCACAAGAGGAAGGAGGTGCCCAGATTCGAGAGAGGAGGAAGAGGTTATCGAGGGTTTCGGGCGAAGGTATTCGGGAGCGAGAGTATCGGCTGTGAGAACAAATATTCATTCGGTCCGGAGTCCGGAGTCCGGAGTCTTACAGAAAAATAAAAAAAATTCATTTTAGTTCGTATTATTCACAACGGGATGTTCGGTACGTGTTAGTTCGTATTATTCAGGTGTTATTATAATAATATTTATATATTATTATATTTTGGGAATATTTTAAGTTTTATAATAATAAAAGAACACATCAATAAAACTACAATAACACATGAATAATACAGAATAATATGAGAGAAATATTTACTATGTTATCGGGTCGGATCACAAGAAAATGAGTTTTTTTTTTTCACATCAGCTCCACGTGGAATTGATTCATTGGACTCCAGACGTATCTCTATGTCTGAAATCCAAACGTATTTATTTTTCCTGCTATGAAGGAGTGGTGTGAGCAAGTTTTAATTTATTCAATTTATTTAAAATTCATTATTGTATTTAAATTTATCAATTTACGCACAATTTGACTTTGTTCAGAACCTTAACAATGTGGGTATCATAAACCCTAAGTAAAATCAATGTTCTGAATGCATCGGCGTAGTTCATTTTGTCATCAAAGGTTACCCGTACAAGTTCACTATCGAACCAATATAAATCCAATTTGCGCAACGCGACAAATGAAATTATTTTGGTCCGATCGGAGCCGTTGAACAAGCCAATTGCTAGCCGGTTTTCGCCTAAGCGACAACCAAAGTCAAACAGATTATTCTCGACAACAAGTCAAACGTCGCATGTCATGAGGTCCCCTTATGACTTTCAAACCCCTACGAGAACTCAACTTGAGCTTCAATATGTCAGCTTTAATCGACTCAATCAAATGCTGAGGATTTGAAACCTTCCATATTAAACTACAAGGAGCTTCTAAATAGTGTAGGTCCCAGTCTAGTCATCTAGGAGATTTAAATAGAAAATCCTAAAGCTGGATTTTAGGCTTTGAGGAGAGAAGAAAGGAAGTCCTTAAAATGAGGTCAACAGTGTCGAATGGACTTTTACAATCGCTCAACCATACAAAACACATTTTGATGTCGTGAGTCAATTTCAACTAGACTACCATCAACATTTGATCTCAATCTGTACAAATATTTTGACAATATTTAGGTTATTTCATCCTTCCAAAGACCACACATTCAAGCCTAACAATATTAATATGAATTGCATTTGCACATCCTACATTCATGTTCTAAGGACAGATGTGAATTCTATTTACATCAGTTCAATGTTAATTCATAAAGTGGTAATAGTTTGTACTGGTCCACATTCATTTGGTTTGACACAGATCTATTGGATAACATAGGTGATGGGTCATCAACGCCTCTTAACGGACCCACTTGCTTTGAAATTAGATGTAACTCCACCACTAATACAAAAACTAATGATAACAGATGCCACGGGGCATTAGTGAGCACCTCTTCTTGCCGGTATGATTGTTGATAGATTTTTCAATGGTGGTTATGATGCGATGCAGGAAGAGATTGAGCACATCAAAGCAAATCCACCAGCTTATTCTTTCCTACATCGACAATATGGAATTTCAGAACAATAATTCAATATTAATGTTGCAACACATGTTAAGGTTATGTCGCCTACAATTTATGGGTACATCATGAATGTCTATAAAATCAAAAATGGCAAGAGGAATGACTTAGGGCTTGTTCAATGTATACACAATATGGAGCATGATAAAAAGTGCTTATCAAACTTGTTTGTAAGAGCGTGGGCAAATATACTAGCACAATCGATTAGAGTTACTTAATTAAGTGCATTTTTAATAATAGATTATTAGCATGAAAATAATTTAATAGGATATACCAAAATTTTCTCGTTTTAAAAATGTGTTTTTACTTCAACATGGTTTGGCGTCCTGCTGCCAAAGTCTCTTTAGTGGTTTTTCAACATTCCTTCAATATCAACTGCGATCGACGAGCTTGAACATGAGTCTAAGTAATAGTTTGGTTGATTTGGAAGCATGATTTTATGTCATACAACAAAAAGATAACAACTTCAGCAACATTCTCAAGCAACAATTTAATTGTGATCCTATTTTCAACTTCGATCTCAATCTCAATCTCCTTCGTGAATATTGGGTTCTTGAATTTGATCTGCCACCTAATGTCTTCCATTCTTCCTATAATATTTCACCTATAAGTATTAATGAGGTGTTGGTTGTTAAGGAGGATGATGATTATTTCCGCAAAAAATAGATAAGGCATGCTTGATTCAAAATTGTTTGATTGTTTATTAAAGCCTTAATACTTGCATTTCATTTTGTTTTTAAGTTTCTATTTTGTAAAAAAAAATATAAATAAAGAAACTTTTTGCATTGGAGCCTTATTAAAAAAATTATTGTAATTTAGCCAAGTTTATAATTTTTTTGTTTATCTTTATGCCTCAAATCATCTGACAAATGACGAATAGAAAATATGCTCTGTTCTCTATGAAAGGGAAGAAGATGCACATAAATCCCTCAGAATCACAAATCCTGTTGGAATTATGGGATTTAGACAAGCAGCACGCGAAAGAAGATAGGAGGAAATGGACGAACAAAGGTATGAGATTGTTGGATATCATGGTTTGCTTAGGATTTAATCAAAATGTTACAAATCTCAGATCCTGTTTTTAACTCAATTTTTATCTTTTTGTTTCCTTTTGCAGAAGTGTGCATTGTAATCAAATTATTATTTTTATCATACTATTGTTTGGGGGTCGTAAGGGATGACTTTGTGGCTTCAATGTCAGATATTATGTTATTTTTTCATTTGAGTTGGAAGGTAATTCTCTTTTGTCTAAAATCAAAAGTTGTAATTTCTTTTACTTGAATAGAAATTTAGTTTTGCTTTGTCGCATGGCGTTTGATATTTTATAGTGATAAAATATCCATTTTCTATTAGAATAAAAAAATAAGTCCACTTTCTCTATCCGAGATGTGAACTTTTTTTTTTGGAAAAAAATGATTTTATGCTTTCTAGTTGAAGAGTTGTAGGTTTTAAGGAAATAATCATGCTTTGTAGTTGCAGAGTTGTTGGTTTTAAGAAAATAATTACCCAACTTTTGTATCTACTATATGTGATCCGTGTTTTAATTCAAATTCTTGTACCATCTCAAAATTTTTGTTTCGAGATCTATGCGACATGCTTTCTTGCGTAGAAAAGTTATGGTTGTTATTAAAGTGTGGATTTATGATGGCTAAATCGGAATAGTGAAAATCCCAGTCATGTGTTGGCTATTTGTGAATATAAACATGATATTGATGGAATCATATAAAAATTATATTCCTTATTTGATATATAGCTTGCTTCAATTCATGTACTTAATTTATTTACTTATATATTTATTTTATTTTGGTAAACTTAAATGTTTTGGAGTAAATTGTTTGCGTTATGCTTATAAGTTTAACATAGCTTACTTCACATTACATAACTTGTACTTTTTCATCACTTATCTATCGAGTAGTGTTAGTGAATAAATTATGTATAGTTGAATAAACTATAATTATATGTTTGATTGCCATAAATCACTCACTTAGGCTAATCATTTTCTAGCTCTATTATTAAATTTATGGTGTCTATTAAAAGATTTGATTAATTGATATTATGCATAATTTAATAGCTTTGAGTGATACACAAATTAATATTGTGATTATAATTTGAATACTCCATTTATTTAATGTAAATAAGTACTCCTCTTATAAACAAGTTGCATAATTAGATTCGTGATTTATTGTTAATTTGTCCGATAAGTTATCTAGCTTTCATTTTATGTTAAATCACTATTTTTAATTATCTTACATATTTTATAAACTTTATTATATAACTAGCTTCCATTAGCCACCATTAGGCAAGCGCACGCCCACACACACAGACATATATTATATATTATATATATATATATATATATGATTCTATTGATTGTCATATAAAATGGAGGCATTAATAAATATTTATGTTTTTTTGGAAAAGTTTCTTACCTTTTTAGGACTTGTGATTGATTTAGGACAAATATTAACGCTTGAGCCGATGCTTGTATTATTTATATGCGAATCATTTGAAGATGATCTGGAGTGTCGATGCAAAGCATCTTAACCGTCATCATCATCATCATCATCATCATCATCATCATCACATCATCATAAATTGTAATATTTGATACCTATGACAATACAATTTTACATTTGATGCTTTATTTATTTGCATTTTGTTGGACGACTTTATTTCATCAAGTCATTATGTTATGAGATGTCTTGGGTAATTTGTCATTTTAAATATTTTAGCTTGCAAACTGGCCATCCTATTTGCCTTGATCGGCCCCCTCATTTTCCTCCTCTCTCGGATTTATTTTAGGGGGATTTACACACATGGCACTCTAAAACTGGGATTTACATATTCAAAACCTAAGCATCTCAATTTGCATCATCTATTATTTTATTAAATTCTTTGGCGAATCTCGTTAAAGGTGACATGTATCGACGGTGACTTTAAAGGCAACAAGGTGGTGTGGTTAGTAGTTTCTTGGCAAGCTCAGATGAGCAGGTTCTCATGGCATTCCCACCACCTAAGGTAACAATTTGGCGAGCTTGGCAGTAAGGTTGACGGTGAGTTTATATGCTTTTTTGAGTGTTATAATCCATATCTAACATGCTTCTTATTCTATTAAAGGACGATGATTAATGATGGTTGAATAAAACAGTCTTTTTTTAGTTTTCTATCATTGTTTTACGTTTTTCACCCCAACAAGATTTCTTCAATTTGTGAGTTCACAGCTCTTAGGAAAGAACTTTCAACAAAAAAAAGGAAGGTTGTAACCATAAATGATACACTTAAGTTTATCGTAGATTAGATATTTTATAAGCTCATCATATTTTCATTTTCTTGTTGTCCGGCAACTTATTTGTTTAACATACCAAAAATTTAAATCTTCCTTCTCAAAACGGATGTCAAAATATGAACAATTGCAAGTTCAAAAATTGCAGGTCCAAAGCACAATGCAATGATTAAATCCATAATTGTAACTTGATTTATTACAATC